CAAACAGCAGCAGCACAGTTGCAGCAGCACCTGAAATGCTCAGCAGCAGGAGCAGCAGCAGCATCACCAGCAGCTTCAACAGCAGCAGCAGCAGCAGCGACCTCCTGGGGAGCATGCTAGACGAGGTAGACATGGAAGCCAGCAGCAGCAGCAACAGCAGCAACAAAAGCAAAAACAGCAGCAGCAGCAGCAGCAGCAGCAGCAAGAACCATCATAGTGTGGAACAGCTGAACATCAGTGAGGAGCCCTCAGTTGCAGACCAGGCCAACAGCAGCAGCAGCAACAGCAGCAGCAGCAACAATATCAACAGCAACAGCGGCAGCAGCAACAACAGCAACAGCAGCAGCAACAACGACAGCAGCAACAGCAACAGCAGCAGCAGCAGCAGCAAGAACTACCATAGTGAAGATCAGCTGAACATCAGTGAGGGGGCGTCAGTTGCAGACCCAGCCCACAGCAGCAGTAGCAGCAACAACAGCAGCAGCAACGAGAACAGCAGCAGCAGCAGCAACAACAACAGCAGCAAGATGCGCCATAGTGAGCAGCAGCTGAACATCAGTGAGGGGCCCTCACCTGCAGACCAGGCGAGCAGCAGCAGCAACAAAGACATCATCAGCAGCAACAACAGCAGCAGCAACGGCCGCGGTAGCAGCAGCAACGAGAGCAACAGCAGCAGCAACGGCCGCGGTAGCAGCAGCAACGAGAGCAACAGCAGCAGCAACAGCCGCAGCAGCAAGAACAACAGCAGCATCACGTGCCGCCTCATTGAAGAGCAACTGAACAGCAGTGAGGGGGCCTCAGCTGCACACGAGGCGAGCAGCAGCAGCAACAACAACAGCAGCAGCAAGTACAGCAGCAGCAGCTACAGCAGCAGCAGCAGCTACAGCAGGAGCAGCAGCAACAGCAGCAGCAGCAGTTCTTTTCTTTCTTGCGCTCCTTGGCGGTCAACATTAGTAGTTGAGGTTTTCGACGCCAGCACAAGCAGCTGCCGTCTGTGTACCCCTGCTGCTGCTGCTGTTGCTGCTGCTGCTGCCGGCGGAGCCTGCG